ACAGCAGAGGATGTGCTAAGTCAGGCCCAGTCCTGACCCACAGAAACTGCCCCAGTTCCAGGAAACCAAACTGACAAACCAAGATCCTGGGCCTCCGACCGTGTTCCCGGATCCCAACGAAACAAATCTAGGGCTTTCCCATTCAGCACAGCAGGTGTCTGTTTTTTCTGCTAATGGATACTCTTTTAGCCAACATGATACAAAGATGTGCATACAATTGTTCTTCCGTGTCTGGAGCTTGGTTTTGGGGTCTCCCACAAACACCCGAATGTGTGGGTGCTCTAGTCCCTTCTGTAAAATGACATGACATTCACATATAGACTACACACATCCTCCCGCATTATTTAAATCAATCTCTAGATAACTCATCACTTGAACACGACGTAAATACTATGGGCACAGTTGTTAGGTTGTTTAGGAAACACAGACCAGGCAAAGTCTGTGTGCATGTTCAATACAGACACAATATTTTTCTGGATATTTTTGACTTGCATTGGTTGAATCCACTGTGGATTCAATCTGTGGATATGGACAGTTGACTTGGTGTGTGTCTGTCTGTCTATCTGTCTGTATCTGTGTCTATAGAAAGAGAAGAAAAGAGAGACAGAAAGCTTTATCTTAAAAAATTGGACTCCTCATCCAGGGACACTTGGTGAGTCCAGAACCTGGTAGAACAGTTTGGAAGGTTGGAAGCTCAGGAAGAGCGACTGGTTGAGTCACAGGCGTCTGCAGACAGAGTTTCTTCTCATTCAGGGGAAGCTAGTTTTCATTTTCTTCAGGCCTTTGACTTTGGACAAGGCCCACTCACATTTGGAAGGGAGTCTGCTTTACCCAGAGCCCACCATTTCAAATATTAATCTCCGTTTTTAAAAAGGAAAAAACATATTCAGATAAACATCCAGAATACTATTTGACTGACTGTCCAGGCACAGTGGCTCAGTCCCACTGGCACATTAAATTAACCATCATAAATAACCTATGTTCAGTTAAGTAAAGACCCTAATTAATTTATTTTTTAACTCTGAGCTTATGATTAATTTCATGAAGAAATTATTTTCATACGATTATTCTGATTTGGTCTAACATTATTAAAAATTTTTGTAAGTTTTCTAATGTGCAACAATCTTGCATTTTTGGCATAAACACAACTTGATCAGAAAAAAAATTTTGGCTGGCCAAATAGCTCAGCGGATTAAAGCACCTGCAAGCAGGTGCAGAGGCTAGGGGTTCAATCCCCAGGCCTGCTGAGCTGGCCCCGACCCTGGGGCACACTGAAGTGGCAATTGAGACTGGGGGTTGTGGTGCGCACCTGTAATCCCAGCTCTTGGGAGGCTGTAAACAGGTGGATCACCACAAGTCTGATCTAAGAGTGAGACCCTTCCCTTAAATACAAAAGAAAAAAAAAAAAGACAAAAAATCTCTCAGTTCATCTCCTGTTCTCCATTCCCACTGCCACCACCTGTGTGGAGCAGAGAACAGAGAGCCTCACCACAGCTGGCACTGGTGACCAGAGAGCCAGACTGCTGACTTCCTGTCGGCCTGTCCTCTCTGGGCATGCTCAGGAGAGCCCAGGACTGCACGGAAAACCCTTGTCTGATCTGCTCAGGAGCCTGACCCCTGCTGGCGAATGGTCTGTGTTCAAATCAGCGTGGTTGTAGCAGGACCTCTTCCTGGTACTGGGAGAGTCAGAGCCCTCAGGTGACAACAGAAGGGGAAAATACACGTGTACTCTCCAGCCAAGTATGGCCAGGAGTCTCAGCCCGACCTACTCTGGGTTTGTACGGAACCCTGCTTAGCCTTCTCTCTGGCATTACTAAGTTCCCCGAGTGGAAAGAGACCATTTTCCTACTCCTCAAACCCCTGCTGTTTCCAGAGCTTGGGTGCCTGGATTTGACCAAACCCCAAGGTTGAGGACTCAGTTCAGACTGCCAGGTCTTCACTGGACTCCAGGCTGCTGCCATGAGGACCACCAAACTGCATAGACCAAGGGAATCAGTAGGCCTTCACATTAGCCACCAACTGTGAGTCCCAGGGTGTCCTCAGAGTCACCTTCACTACAAACCAGCTGGCTGCAAATCTGGATGCCTCCAAACATCCTTGGGATTCCACTGTACTTAAGAGTTACAACATTCTCAGGGCTGGCGAGATGGCTCAGCAGATTAAGCACCTGCTTAGGCAAGTGCAGGGACCAGGCTGAATCCCCAGCATCACATGCCATGCCTCCAAGAGCGCACTGAGCAGGTCACTGAGACCAGGCATAGTGGCACACACTTGTAATCCCAGAAGGATCACTGTGAGTCCGAGCTGTGTAGCAAGCTTCAGGTGGGGGGCAATGTGGGGCTTAGAAGCCTGGGCACTGATCTTCAAAGCTTCCAGCTCCAGACCTGGCTTTGCCACTTCCAGGTTTAATGAGGTTGAGCAAGTTACTTAATTGGTTGATGCCCACTAGCCAAAGGCCACAGGACCCTCCCTGGTACTTGAATGAACTGGGGTTTGTTGGTACCTGTGGCATCTAAGGAAACAACGCATCACAGGGCATGGAGGCAGGGGTCTCAGTAAGTGGTTGGGAGGGGCTTACAGAAGGATTTGGGCTTGGAAAAGGTGGTCTGAGGGGGCGTTCAAGGAGACAAAGGTTTGCTCTCTATTGGATGCTATTGGGAAGTAGCAGTGATCCCACAAAAGGTGTCTACAATTTCTATCTAGGAGGCAGTGGAGTAAGACAGTACTGAAAGCCACAAATGATAAAGAAACAGTGATCTTTCACATGAATCAGAGGGTGCCTTTGCCTGGTTTGGTGGATTCACAATGACCTTGATTTTGTCCATCTTCAGGCATACTTCTGTCTTGCTCTATCATAGCTGCACGGTAACCTGGTGGATGCTGGTGCCCTGTGAAAGTGCCCCCAGGAGCACATCCTGGCCCCCTGGAAGCACCAGGTGGGTTCCCAGAAGAATCAGGCAGGGGGTGCATTTCTTCCTTTCCCACCTCTGGTTCTTGGCACTAAGAGCATGGAGATAATAACAGAAGCTAATATATTAGCTGTGAGAATTAAGAGAACTCATGTAAAAGGCCTGGCATAAAATAAAATACAATAGCCAGAAATTCTACCATGGTTGATGTTTAAAAATAAGAGTTTGTGATAAAGTGGAGGAAATAGAGAATCTAAATAAAGCCAGACATGGAAGTTGAGAAAGAAAGATCCTGAGCCAGGGGAAATCAGGAGATGGTGAGGGTGATCTCTGAGCCTACATCTGTCATGTTCACCCCAAAATGACCACCACATCAGGCCAGGGCAGCCATAATTGGTGCACGTGTTTGTGTGTGTGTGCATGTGTGTGTGTGCGTGTGTGTGTGTGTGTGTGTACTGTGTTCACCTTTCAGTACGAGAAGTAAGAGAAATGTGCCAGCGATAACCATAAATGATAACTATATGCCATGGTCAAGTGGGATTGGTTCCAGGAAGGGAAGATCAAATAATACAAAACACACTGATAGAACACAGAACAAAACCCACATGATTATCTCAATAGACATAAAATACACACAAAATCATCTGACAAAATTCACTAATTACATGACAAAAAAAGTAACTCAAAAAGGTCAACGAACTTAATAGAAAGCAACTTCCAACATCTGATAAAGAACATAGAAGACAAAGGAGAAAAGGATTAAATGAGAAAAGGCTAACACCTTCCTCTCTCAGAACAAGAGGCACATGTCTGCACATTCGGCACTCTGCTCAAGGTTCTAGTCAAGGGAACCAAATAAAAAACACTCAGGCAAAAAGAAAAAAGCAAAACCATCTCTATTTGCAGATGACACATTCTTTACATAGAAAGTTCTAAGGAATCCAGGGCTGGCCACACAGCTCAGCAGACTAAAGTGCCTGCTTAGGCAGGTACAGTGACTGGGGTTGGATCACCAGTGCCATGCCGGCCCCGCCCCAGGATGTGCTGAGACTGGGCGTGGTGGCGCATGCCTGTAATCCCAACGCTTGGGAGGCTGAAAACAGGAGGATCACTATGAGTCCAATCTGTGTAGTGAGACCCAGTAGACCCTGTAGACCCTGTACTAAAATACATTTTTAAAAAAAGTTCTAAGGAATCCACAAAAAATAATTAGAGCTAATAAATCAGCTTAGCAAGATTTTGGTACACAAAATCAAAATACAAACATAAACTGTGCTTCTATACAATAGCAATGAACTATCTGAAAATGAAATTAAGAAAATAATTCCACTTACAACACCATAAAAATAAAATATTTAAGAATAGCCAGGTATTAAAAAAAAAAAAAAGAACATCCAGGTATGAGAGTGCATGCCTGTAATTTCAGCAGTCAGAAGGCTGAGGTAGGAGAAATTGCAGGTTCAAGGTCAACTTGAGCAAGACCTTGTCTCAAAAAGAGGAAGAAAAAAAAGAAGATATTAAGCATTAAATTTATCTAAAAAAGTCAAGACTTGAGACTTGCATGCTGAAAGAAAGAAGAAGAAAAGAGAGTATGATTCCTGGTTCCTGGAGCCACCTCAAATCCATTCCACTCAAGTACGAAAGCAGTTATTTGTGAAGACTTATCTCATGTCCAACTGTTCTCTCCTCCACTGGAAATTGAAATCAGGGCCTTTGTACTGAGCTACATCCCTCATCCTTTGGTTGCTTCCTTGCTTGCTTGCTTGATTGATGATCTACTGATACAATCTCACTAAGTCACTAAATTGCCTGGGCTGGGCTTAAATTTGCAATCGTCCTGCCTTAGCCTTCCACACTGCTAGGATTGCAGGTGTGCACCTCCATATCCAACTAAAATGCTAGTGAGAGGAAAAGCTCATCTCCAACTCTTGGGCAGCTGTGAACGTCAGGGACAGATTCAGGGTGGCGAGACGAGCTGCAGAGGTAGCCCAAACAGCAGAGCTAGCAACAGTAGCCAAAGAGGGCCACTGCTGTGCCAGCAGCGGATGGTTAGGCTCCCAGCCCTCAGGATCTTGGAGGCCCTGAGCAACCTCACACCTGGACCCCTCAAGGCATGGTTTCTGGGGCCCTGCGCTTCAGAGCCATCTTCAAGGCCTTCAGGATGGTACCCTGGCTGTTCTGCAGATTGTAGTCATTCAGCTGCAGCAGACGGTCAAAGGCTTCCTCTGAGTAGGTCATGTTGTGCAGGAAATAGGGTGTGGTGGTCTTGTTGAGATCCACCTGACCAGCCTGGAGCTCTTCCAGACTGCGTGGGATGCCTGTACAGGGGAGGGAGAGGTCAGGAACAGGCTCAGAGGCCTCCACAATTAGACTAAGCTTTGCACAGGGGAGAGGTTGGGGATACTCCCCATGGAAGGCTCCATGCTGATCCTCCCAGCTCTCCATTCCCATGCCTGCAAATGCACATGAGGTGGCAGGGCATTATTCTCAGATAGGGGACTTTCCAACTCCACACTCCAGACAGCATGGCACTTGTCCTGCCATCAGAACTAATTAACTCTGGGTAAGGTGAAAACAGCCAGAAGAAAATCAACCGGGCTAGCACATGTATTTCCAAAGCTCATGATAAAATTAAGGGGACTTTGACTTTGAAAGAACCACTGTGTTGAGAGAGGAAAGTTCTTTAGAATTCCAAGGTGTGGGCTGAGCATGTTCAAAGGTACACCGCAAGATCTGGAATCATGGCAGGAGCTAGAGAACTGGGAGCCATGCACTGAGGCAGAAATTTGTTTTTTTTTTCTCATCCAAAGGAGATAAAATTCTAGCAGGATAGTGGGGTGGGGTGGCAGGACAGGAAGGACTATGAAGAGGTGTTAGATTTGGGGGCCCCTGAAGAGATCACAACTCCCTGAGGAGCCTCAGACTAGGCTGAGCCAGAGGCCAACCAAACCTCCATGCAGAAGGAGCGGAAGAATGTGGGTATGGGAAAGGGGCAAAGGAGGCGAGAGTCAAGACAAAGAAGACAGCAGTGTGATGACTGAGGCTGCTCACCACAGGGCTCTGCCCAGACCTGAGGTATTGGCTACTGCTGGGGAGGTGTGTCTTAAGGCTGTGGGCCTTAACCCTTCCCTGGGTGACTGGGGAGGGGCTGCTCACCAGGGGCAGAGTGATCCTTGAAGGAGGCATTGACCAGGGGGAAGTAGAGCAGAACAGGGGCCTCTGGGCAGGAAGGGTCCGAGAACAGGTAGCATTCCCTGGGCTGGCATTCGTCCTCAGCACTGGCCTCCACATGGGGGAAGGGCAGCCCCTGGGTTCTGCAGTACAGCTCAGCCTGCTTCAGTGCCTGGCAGAGCAGAGGGAGCACAGTCAGCCCAAATCTGTACTCTAGAGAATGCCAGTTGGGTCTGGCCCCAGCTCACACCCTCATGCCCTCGGTATTGGTTCTGTGCTACATTGCTACGGGGGCATCTGAGGATCTTAGCAAGCGAAACTTTTAGGTGAACCACAGACCCAGCTGTTCTCCCCAATTGTGGTCATTAATAGATGATTCAAGTCCTAGAGCTTAGAGGGCCTTAGTGGGGAACCAAAGTGCTCGTCCCAGCATTGTCCCACCCCAGAGTCCCCAGTAGTCTCCAGGGTAAGGGGGAGGTTGGATTGGAGATGCCAGGGGCCTCTTCCACCCAGCCCAGTGGCTCCTCTGTAGGGTAGGTGTGTTGAACTCTGTCCTGTTCATCTTGGAATCCAGAGCCCCAGTGATAGCCCCTGCCATTCTCTTCTTTGAAGGATATGGGAGATGAGGGTTGTGGCTCAGGGGCTTGCTTCTTGTCCCTGGAGCCTGGCCAGATTAGGTAGGGGCCTGGGGGCAGCCAGGGGGCACCTCAAACTTTGAGGACAAGGCGTAGCCAAAGTAGAGGATGAGGTCTAGCCTGCGGCCTGGCCGGAACATGGAGGGATAGCTGTTGTTGATTAAGTAGCCGGTGTCCACCAGGCAGAGCTGGGGTTCCTGGGGGGTCAGCTTGCTAGGGGTGGAGTCCAACTGGCAATCTGGTGGGAGAGTAGTGACAGTCAGAAGCAGCTGCCATCCTACCCACCCCCTTGTGGCCACATTCACCTCCATATCCCTTTGGCACCTCTGCTACTCTCCGGATGCCCAGGCCCTGCCCAAGGCCTTCCAATGGGATCTTTTCCAGACCTCACTCCAGAAAAAGATACTGTGAATCCCAAGACCTCTCTCCATCAACAGTCGTGGCCCACACCCGTCAGGCAGCCCAGTATTGCTATGGGGCACAGGGCCATCCATGGTCCTTACCCGCCCAAGTAGAGAAGTCTTTCTGGCCGCAGTAGCCCTGGTGTAGCTGAAGGCCACGGAGGAAGTTGGCACCATGGTAGCAGAGTGGCCTCCCTGTCAGGAAGCCCTTAAATGCTTGTGCCAGGGCCGATCCAGGCTGCAGCCAGGAGGACTCCATCCACGAAGAGGTCCTCAAGCAATCTCCTGGCTCCTCTGCAACCAGAGAAACAGGCACTGCTCCAGCAAGGGTCCCAGAAATGCCATCCCTCCTGCCTCCAGACCACCCCAGGGACCCTCTCCCACCTGTGCAGTGTATCTCATCCTTGACATGCTGTTTCCATTCCTCCCCAGACCAGGCAAGGTTATACCAGGTGTCCATCAAGTTTACGGAGAAAATGTTGCTCCAGGTCCCTGAAGCCAAATCCCCAAGAGAGGGCGGTCCTCAGACCCCAGAGCCCTGCCTCCTGCCCATGAAAGCTGGTGGCCCCCACATCTAGTGCCAATGGGAAATGCAAGCAGGGGGAAAGGGCGCTTCTTGCAATGGCTCCACCCAACTGTCGCCCAGCTTCTTGCCTCATCCCAGGGCTCTGCCCAGACCCATGCTGCAGGGATCAGGTCTGAAAAGTAGCCTGGCCAGTGTTTTCAGGGTGAGCACACTCACCTTCCAGAAAGCAGATCCGGGACTCAGGGAGCCTCCTCATCAATCGCCCCATGAAGAATTCAGAACCAAAGAGCTCAGGAGGAACAAAAGCTCCATACTTCAGGAACCCGACCTCATAGGGGGAGAACTCGACCCACTCTGATGGGATGAGAAGGAGAGGCAGGAATGTGGGGGAAGTGGGATAGAGGAGCTCCCTCTGGTAAGGGCCACAGATACTGCCCCCCACCCTGGGCAGGCCTTAGCCCCCCTACTGCTCAGCACCAAATCAGCAGACTGAGGAAAGCACTCCCCTTCCACCCTGTGCACATGCTCAAATGCCTTCCACTCCAACGACAGTGCTGCTCTGCCTGGCCCTGGGCCCATGTACACCACTGTGAGGCCATCTATACAGTCATTCCTGCCTTGGCTTCTATGGAAAGCCTGGGGCTGGAGGCAGTGGACCTGAGGTGGATATGTGCTGGGGGACAAAGCAAATAGGACCATACCCTTGAAGTGGAGGGTGTCCACAGTGTCCTTTTTGACATTGAGGCTCAAGTAGAGGGGCAGAGGGTTCTGACCCCGCTCCAGTGCATCTCTCTGTCCTGACAGTGTCTGATCCATCACCTGGGATCAGAGGAATGAGAGCCTAAGTGAGGTGGGGTGGCAGCTCCTCAGGAAGGGACAGGGCAGGGGCACAGGTGGGGGTGAGGAGGCAGCTGCCCCTCTGGGCTTCGGGGAGATGGGAAGGAGAGGGCGGTGCAGCCCGTTCCGCCCAGGCCCCAGTGTAGGGCCACCATTCAGGGTTTTGCAGGCGGTGCACTACGCAGCTCACGTCACGTGCATTGCTGGCTCCTCCCTCTGCATCCTGGGCTTTTAGCACCTGTCTCTATGGGTTTATGGGTGGAGTGGGTGAGGTCCTGACACAGCGCAGGCACACGTCCAAGGAGGCACACATGGGCATTGCTTTCCAGAAAACACACATAGTCCTCTTTTAGACATGGGTGACCTAGGTGACACATTCCTACCATATGTCCTGCCCTGTCCCAAACCACCTGAGGCTGACTGCCTCGGCCTTCTTGCTAAGACAAGCTCTAGGCTGCAAGCAGTCCCTTGTTCAGCTAGCCAGAGCGAGAGGGAAGCCCTGTGCACCTCTGGTCCAGCATGGCCGGAGGCTCTCTGTGCCTGTAGAGTGCAAGGAACCACCGCAGAACCTAGCAAGGAGACCCAAAATAGAGCACAGGAAAGCACTCAGAGGGCAGGGGCTTGAGCTGCATCAACATGGACCTAGACAGGGAAGCCAGTCCTGTGTGACTGGAACAGGGAGTTCAGGAAGAGGCCGTGGGCACAGAAAACCTGATCCGAGACAAGTGATGCCATAGGAAGAGAAAAAGAATCCACAAACAAAACTGGAGAAGTCTGCTACCTGTACAGGGAAAGAAAGCATACCAGAAAACACCCCTTAAAAATTGACCCCTGGGCTGGGGAGATAGCTTGGTGGTTTAAGCGCCTGCCTGGCAAGCGCAGGGACCTGGGTTCGATCACATGCTATGCCAGCCCCACCTTGCCAGCCACTGAAATTGGCATGGTGCATTCCTGTAATCCCAGCACTGGGGAGGCTGAGACAGGAGGATCACTATGAGTCCACGCTGCATAATAAGACCCTGTATCAAATAAATAAATGAATAAAGAAATAATTTTTAAAAATAAAAAAATTAACCCCTAGCCATATGAGACTTACATTCTGGTACATTCAAGTCCTACTTGTAGGAAACAAAGTTTTAAAGCTTATGTAAGAATATGCAGAGAGGGGCAGGGGAGATGGCTTAGTAGAATGAGTGCTTCCCTGGCAAGTGCAAGAGCTTGAGTTCATTCGCCGGTTCCGCCAAAAAAAAAAAAAAAAAAAAAAGAATATGCAGAGAGGAACTTTATAACTTGGGAGAAGGAAAAGGAAGACTCCTCAAACACACATCATAAAGGAGGAAATGATAAGATTATACTAAATTATGCATCAAGATAGTCATAGCTGGTAAAGGGCTAAAATCAGATTATATAAAAATTCTAAAAAACACTGAAAAAAAGACAAACTAAATACAAAATTGGGAAAAAAATTTCAGTAGGTAATCCATGATAAATATATTGAAAACATAATGTCTTACTAAAATTCAAGATAATAGGGCCAGGGAGATAGCTCAGTAGAATAAGCGCTTGTCTGGTAAGCGCAAGCCCTGAGTTCAACCTCTGGTTCTGGAAAAAAAAAAAAATTCAAGATACTAAAAAATTACAATACACTTTCCCTTCATATCTAGAGCTGAAGGTCTGGCAAGATAGCTCAGCAGACTAAGAGCCCGCTTAGACAAGTGTAGGGACCTGGGCTCCATCTCTGACACCACGTGACGTGCCTGCCTTGCCCCTGGGTGTGCTGGGCAGGCAAGGAGTCTGGGCATGGTGGCACACTGGGGAGGCTGAAAACAGGAAGGTCACTATGAGTCTGAGCTGCGTAGTGAGACCCTGTACCAAGTACATTTTTAAAAAAATCTATAGCTGAAAAAATCTTAACCTGCAGAAGATGTAGAGAAAGAAATATGTCACACCGATAATGGGACTGTGAATCAACACTGCTGCTTTGGGCAGCAATTTGACAGTAACTGGAAAAGACAACACACAGACCTGACAGCTCAGCAGGTCAACTCCTGGATGTAAATATCAGAAACTGGGTGAGCCTCTAACACGTGTGCACACTGAGACTTGTACACAGTTATTCAGATGAGTAATATATTTTTCTTAAAGGCATAAATATCAAATTATATGTAATAGAGATCCACATAACAAAGATGTACAAAATACATTATATGGAATTCCATGTGATGGATAATACTATACAATATCTACAGATTGTAGGTGTTCCTGTGATGGATGATGTATAAACTTGAAGAATGGGAAGGAAAGGGGGCTGGGCTTCAGCTGGGGCTGATTGGCTAAATCATGCGCATTGTTGTTTCTCTTTTGTGCATTTTCTTAGATGTGAAGATTTTCATAGTAAATGTTTAATAATAAATATTGATATTTGCATAAGTATTGCTAACCTAATAAAAATAAGAGTGATATTGTACTTGCCAGTGAAAATAAAACTTTTAAAAATTTGAGGAGAAATAGAAGTAGAGAGAAAAGGGATAAAAAAAGAATTAAGATATGTTATGTACATGTACCAATTCTCCATGAGGAACATGATTGTTATTGTATACCAGTAAAAATTAATGACCCCTCAAATTTGAAGAGACATCATTCCTTCCTTTTACTATTAATAAATTTGATTTTTAAAATTGTAATAGACATGGAACCCAGGGCCTCGTTTATGCTAGAAAGCCACACCCCAACCAGATAGTTTACTTTTTTCTCTCCTTTTCTTTCTTTCTTTCTTTTTTTCCCCCTTTTTCTTTTTCTTTTCTTTTTTTTTTTTTTTTTTTTTTTTTTTTTTGTATTTGGTACAGAATTCTCAGGGTCTCACCACACAGATCGGACTCAGTGACCCTCCTGTTTTCAGCCTCCCAAGAGCTGGGATTACAGGTGTGCGCCACCACACTCAGTCTCAATCATGATCTCAGCGCACCTGAGGGGCAGGGCCAGCATGGCACGCCAGGGATGGAACCCTGGTTCCTGCATCTGCGTAAGCAGGCGCTTTAATCCTCTGAGCTACATGGCCGGCCCAGATAGTTTACTTTCAATTTCATGCTAAATAGGGGGCCTGCTCCTTAGCTCAGTTCTTTAAGAGCCTGCTTAAACAGTCAGTCAACTCAGGTTGCTGTGGGTCCATTCCCAGAACTCAAGCCAGCCAAACCTGCCCTGAAGGCTTTCTGAGTGAGCCAAAAAAGAAAAAGAAAAAAGAAAAAGAAAAGAAAAGAAAAAGAGAAATCCTTCAATTTCATGCTTAAGATATTAAATGGTTATGGTGAAAGAATTCCTACATTTTAACAGTGGTATCAGTTAGAGTAAGACCCTACAGTTAACTTACTAAACTCTCCAGAAAGAACCATCGCAGTAAACGTATCTGTGCTTCGTGTTGTTGCTCGAATTAGGAAACTGAGGCACGGAGATTAAGAAATTTTCCTAAACACACACAACTAGTAAAATGCATTGGGATTAAAACCCAGGGACTCTGTCTTTAAAGTCTGCACTTTTAGTTTTGGTCTTTTTTTAAAACTAGAAATTGAACTCAGGACCTTGTGTTTGCCAGTCAGGCTCTCGTGCTACTGAGCTACATTCCTGGCTCGGTGTGGGTTTTTAACGCTAAAGATAAAGAATAACATTTTACACTGCAGTATAAATAAAAGCCGTTCTAGAAATCTTAAGCTTCATCTCACTGACTAATACTGACTGATCCTCAAACCTTGGGAGACCCAGAAATTTCTGTCAACGGCAACTAACCAAAGAAGAGCCAACCTCAAAAAGGGAGTATCTTTTTTTTTTTTTTTCTTTTTGCGGTACTGAGTGTTAAATTTAGGACCTTGTGCTTGACCAGACAAGTGCTTATTCTACTGAGCTATCTCCCCGGCCCCAAAAAAGGGGTGTCCTAAGAGAGGCAGAAGCTCAAGGCTTGCCACGGCCTTCAAAGCTCCGCCCCTCCACCCCTCAGGGAAGCTTCGCAGTACCTGGCCGTGCAGGCTGAACTCCAGCAAGAGAGCCCAGAGATCCACAGCTGTGGTGTGGTGACCCTGCGAGGCCCGCAGCTGCAGCTCCCGCCGGTAGCATGCCAGGCGCTCCGGGGAGAAGGCCCTCAGCTTGCTCTTGGCCAGATGCTCCCTGATGTGGCTGATGGGTCCCTGGAGGTCCTTCTGCGACCACTCGGGGTCCCCATACAGGTGGGCCATTGCCCTGGAGGAGGAAGAAGGAAGCGTGGGTGGAGGCTGTCTTGCGACTGTGCCATCCCACCTGCATCTTCTCCCCAGACAGGGCTCCTTCAGCCAGGGCAGCACCTGTCTTGAAAGTGCTCCATCCCTGCTGTCCACAATTACAGTTGTGAACCACATAGATAATGTTCATTTTCTTTTCATTTTTGGAGGCGGTGGGGATCAAGCCCAGAATCTTGCTCATGCTAGGCAAGTGCTCTACTCCTCAGCTACGGCTACAGCCCATGTGGAATTTGTATTTCCTAATACCCACGATAAAAAGTATAAAGAAATCAGTGAGAATTAATTTTAATAATATATTGCATTTAAGTCGAGACATCAAAATATCATTTTGACGTATAGTCACTGTAAGTTATTGGCATAATATGTGTTTTTTCAAGCAGTCTTCAAAATTATGTTTATAATACATCCCAATTTGGACAGGCCACATTTTAAGGAGTCAGTAGCCACTATGGGTGATGACCACCATCCTAGATAGCATAGGGCCCTAGCCTCTCTTCATGGGCCTGTCCTAAAGTTCTCATGACTCTACTTGCCAGCCTCTGTCTCCTGAGCACCTTATCCAGCTCCCTCTGGTCCAGCCACCTTCAAGCCCTCAGTAATGTCAGGACAGGACCTCCTGCCACTGTTCCTGGCAGAAACATCCTACTCACACCCTCATGGTGTCGCCATATTCAAGCTCCCTCTGGTGTCCATTCTGCTGCCCTCTGGGCCCTAGTCATCTCAGCTGCCCCAGCCCCCATGGCCCTTACCATGTAGCACCCGAGATACCACTCAGGTAGGTGACACAGTCCAAGAGGCCTAGCTTCTGCAGGGCTCGGAGATGTCCGTAGAGTGAGGTCATGGCCCGGACACCTCCTCCTTCAGCCATGATGCCCACAACAGGGACCTGGGCCACACAGACATAGACTGGTTAACAAGGACAGAGACCCCAAGCTGCATCCTACTCCCTTCCTCTAGTGCAAGGGCCTTGAGGTCAGGGCCTGATGGGGTCATCAGGGACATCCCTCAGCTCAGGTCAGAGCCCCAAGGGACCAAGAACCCTGAAGTGTACACACTTGCCCCATGTCTCCCTCCCCACCCCTATCTCTATTGCTTGGGGTGTCTGAAGAGGGTATAGGAATCAGGGAGCCCCACAGGCCAATCTGGAGTATCTGGACCCACATCCTTCATGCTCCCCCAGACCTCATCCTCCTGTAGGTCTCTGTCCAACTTCAGGGCTTGCTTCAGGGCCTTGGCCACAACTTGCTTCCTCTTGCTCAGGAAGGCCTGCTCCTCTGCACAAAGATCAAAGCCCAGGCGCACGGCCAACTCCTTAGGGCTGGGACAGAAGAGGACCCAAAGGTGAGAGGACACTTGCGTGGCTCAATGACCAACCAAGCCTGCAGTGAGCTTCCAGTTTACTTCCCTGACCCAATCCCAAGAACCACCTGTGCCACAGAATTCCCTCCTATGAGCACCCCTCACTGTCCTCACAGATATGCATGTCCCTTACCAGCTATCTGCCTTGAGCTGCAGCCTCACTCCTGAGTCCTAAAATCAAAGCAAGAAACCACACTTAGAATATCCTAGTCCTGGGGGACATAGGTATCCCCCGGGGCCTTGGACAAGTTTGTCTATCTCCACAGAACTTCTCTAAGTTGAGGCCACTTACATCTGCAGTAGGTATACTGATGGGCACCTCTTTGCCCCTGGTCAAGGACCGCAGGGGCACAGTGAGGTGCCCAACTGATTTGGCTGAGTGCCATCCGTTGCTTCTGGAGCTCTGGAAGAAAGCATTCATGCAGACATTCAACAGGCTTACTGAGCATCCAGGCAGCCACAGTGCCTCCCTACTAATATGAAATTAATAACAATTAGGTACCAAAATTACAAAATAATGGCCAGTACTTGTTTAGTGCAAAGGTGGTGTTCCCTCTGATCACGTCCCATGTCTATAGACATGGAATGTAGTCTTGGGGAGGATACCAGCCATGCAGCAGGATAAAGTAACCAAGACAGAGGACAGGAGGAGCAGCTGGCACAGTGTGTAGCAATAGGACACAAGAGCAGCCAGAGCATGAACAAGGGGATGCGACACATGAGACTGCAGAGGTGGTGAGGGGCAGGCTACGCAGCAGGGTCAAGAGCATCATTGGAGGAGCCACCAGTGTGTTCAAACCAAGACCTGCATGGCATAGCAGCTCCCATTGATCCTCCATGGCTTCTGGGCTGTGGTGCTTAAGTGAGGGAACCTGAGGAGGCCACAGGACACCTGGCATTGGCAGGAGGAGGTGGGGAGGGCTCTGCCACTGCTGGAGTTGGTTAAACAGGGTGGGAGAGCTGGGGAGGGCTAGGGAGCAGAGACCCACCCTCAGGCACCCATGCAACTCTGTGTCTTGGGCTGCCAGATAGTGGAAGTGGAAGGCAGAGGCTGTGCCCAGGGCAGACGTCTGTGTGTCTTCATAGGACCCCTTCAGGACCAGCTCCAGCTCCAGTTTATCCTGATCTAGGGAGATGGAAGGCAGGTTGGCAGGAGCTGCAGCTCTGCCCTGGGAAACCAGTAGTAAATCTGGAGAGAGGCCAGGTATGCTGGACCATGATAAGCAGGATTCCGCAAAGAGCCTTCCCCACAACCCCCTTGGGGCTCCCACTTTTCAGGTCAGGGGACCCTCCTGCCATTCTTACCTGCTACCTCAGAGGTGCTCCCTGCTCTGTCCAGATGGACATCCAGGCATGACAGCTCTCGGGCCTGGAGTAGACCATGGTGTTAACTACACAGGGTCAGCTAGGACTAACTCAGCCCCAACTCTCAGAGCCCCTCTGTCCCAAATCCACCACACACAGAAGAAGAAATGGGGTCCAAAATAGAACTGTGTGGAACACTTCATCCCACCTCTGATCTGCAGCTGCCCAGACTATTGTCTGGGTCCCTCAGGAGGCCCCTTCTCCACCGCCAACCCAGTCATCCTGGCTTTACTGACCTGCTAGAAGCTCTGAGAGCTTCCCAAGTACAGCTCCTTTTCCACAGTGACTATGGGGCAACTCCAACTGTAATGACTCCCAGTGTATGCCAACCACAGACCCGCACACTGACAGAACAAGGTGCTGGAGTCTCCCTGGACATGACAGGGACTGGGACACCTTCACACTGTCCTTCCCACAAGATCCCTGGCCTCTTAATCCTCCATGTGGCTGTCCAGTCCATGAAACTGCTCAATTTACCAGCCCACAGCAGGGCTCTAGTGCGTCAGAGAAGGGGCAGCTGCCATAGATTGTGTGTGTGTGTGTGTGTGTGTGTGTGTGTGTGTGTGTGTGACTGGGGCTTGAGCCCAAGGCTCTTACACTGAGCTACATCTTTATTCCTTTTGTAAAAAAAATTTTGGGACAAACTTTTGCTAAGTACCTAAGTTACCAAGGATGAGCTAGAACTTGCAATTCTCCTGCCTCGGCCTCGTAGAGTGCTGGGCTTATGAGTATCACCATCCTCACCTGACTTCATTTTCATGTATATTCTTTTTAAAAGTTTTTTTGAATCTTTTATTTCTTTATTTATTTGGTATAGGGTCTCGCTATGTGGCTCCGACTCATAGTGATCCTCTTGTCTCCACCTCCCCAGTGCTGGGATTACAGGCATACATCACCATGCCCAATTTTGGTGGCCAGCTTCATGTATTCTTTTGAAAAGTAAAGTAGCCCATCGAGCCAGTGCTTGCCTAGCCAGGAGAGTGAGCACTTCCTTTTGTGTGTGTTGCAGACACCTCTTCAGCTGACCTGAGGCACCCAGCTCCGACTGCAGGGTCTGCTGGTCCACACCAAGAAGAGTATTTCTCATGTGGTGTGGGCCACCTTCCATCCACTGCAGCTTGCTGCTTGGAAGTGTGACCAGGACACTTCTGGATCCCATGGAAGAACTGATTGGCCAGATGTTATCCCCAGCTTCACTGGAAACTCCCTCAGCATTGGCAACCCAAAGGTGGGCCTGGCCTGCCACGCTTCACCATGACGTCACAACCCCAGGGAAGAACTGTGAGCTCCTCATATGTGACCAACCCCCATCAGGAAGCACCTGATGTTCCCAATCATCCTTCAGCCATCCACCTTCAGACATCCTCTCAACACCCCCAAAGACCTGCATAGACCCAGGTGACCCCTGGCTGGGATACCAGGGATGGTCTCACTACGAAGACTTTTCCTAGCTTGTCGCCTCTCACCTGTTTCAGTGCCCCTGCCCTCATCTCTCTGCTCTGAGTCCCACCCCTAAGGACAGGAAAGGTGGTTACCACAAGGACATTGTTGGTGATCAGATTTTCTGGAGGATCCGACCTAGAAAAATAAGACCACTAGTCTGGTTTGGCAGAGGCAGGCCCACCCTGCACTGACCTGCCCACCTGAAGCCTCCCTGGATGATGCCAAAGGCTCTAAGTGTCAGGGGAGAGGGGAACCTCTGCAGAATGAAAGGGGGAGGAGTCAGCAGGACAGGGGAAATACTGGCCTTTAGCCCTCAGCTCTCCCCAAGGAGTCCCAGACCTCTCTGACAGGGGCCAGTGAGGGACAGTACTCTCATATGGGCAGAACAACACAGTTCTAGGTCAGGACTATTTTTCTGAACAAAGCTTGCCTACCTGGTCATGCCTTGGGCTAGGTAACATTACTCATGTATAAACGTGAATAAATGTGACATTACTCACGTTTCTTCCACTAGAAACTCCACATCTAGCTCTTCCTGTCCCTAAGATCAAAGAGGATTAGTAAGTCATCAACATTTACAGTTGACACATGTTAATGCTTAGATCAAAAATGTCAGATGCCCCACCATCACCATAGAGTCCAGATGTTCAGATATGGGGCCTGTGGAAGGTGATTGAATGATCATGGGACTCTAACCTCATGAATGATTAATCCATAGTTGACTTCATAGCTAAAAGTGCTGTGAGGAGCTGAGGCTTGGCCAGGGGAAGTAGGTCACTGGGAGTGAGACCTAGAAGAGCATATCCAGTCCTGGCCCCTTCTTTTCTCTCTGACTCTTCCTGGCTCTCTTTCTTTCCTGACTGCCATGAAGTGGGTGCTTTCCTCTGCCCTGGATTTCTACCACGGTTTCTGCCTTGAATCCAAGCAACCACGAACTAACCTTCTGAGACCGTAAGCCAAAACAGACCTCTCTTCACTTAGGCTGTGTGTGTCAGGTATTTTTTTCAACAGTGAAAAGCTGATGGACCATACTGTCCTTTTTATATGCCTTACCATCTCAGCTTGTCTTAAGGGAGCCATGCTGTTACAATTATTTCCCATTCACAAATGAAATGGAGGAGAGGTCGAGAAGGCTGACCTACCCACGCTACTGCAGCTAGCAAGTCTAGAGAGCAGCTCTCTCTCTTTCTGCAGCTAGCAAGTCTGTAGAGAGCAGTCTCTCCTTCTGGCCCCCTGAGCCCTGGGTCATGCTGAAGGAGTAAAGGAATAGACAAAGTGCTGAATGAAAGATTGATTTCACTGATTTCATTCACTGAAGGATGCCAGTCCCCATCTTCTCTTGAAGAAGGCCCAAGCCCTGTCACTCTGCCTTCCCACATCTCGCCTGCACTGGGAAGATCTCCAGACCATCTCAGGGCAGGTCTGGGGCCCATGAGCAAGAGCAAGAGTGCACACCTCCTGAGGGGTTGCTGCATCCAAAGGGATGCTAAGCTCTGCGTGCTCTCCACTTCCCAGGCCCCCCTCCCCCATGGCTAAAGCTCTTGCACAGAGGGATAGAGTTTAGAACTGCATGAGGAGCAGGCTGCTTTCCTACTAAAATGCAGATCTCTTTGGAAAGGATCACAGCATCCTAGCAGCATCCCAGAAGTTGGAGCAACTGAATCCTTCCTCAGCCTACAGCTGAATGAGGTGGGCCCAGGGGGCCTTCCCTACCCACCTGGGGAGCCAGGGAGAAGGTTTTCTGGAGCAGTTTGCCAGGAAGGACTTCTGAGATGTCATAGAAAACTTTGAAGCAGAGTTCATCCTTTGTAATTAAATCTTCATCATAGATGCTCAGCTCCAGAACATTCTAGGGAACAGGACCAGTGACTTGGCATATTATCTTTTCATTTTGACCACAACTCATGAATAACTGGGTTTTTTGTTATTGTTGTTGTTTTTCATTTTTTTGTTTTTATTTTTTTGAGGTTATGAGCAGAATATATTTATTGGGGGAAAGAAAGCTTCTGTCTGAGAGGACAGGAGGGTGGCCCGTGTGGATAGTCCCCCTCATGAATAACTATGAAACTTAAAAATATAAAGAAATTGAACAGTTTGGCATGGTGGTACATGCCTATAATCCCAGCACTTGGGAAGCTGAAACAGGAAGATTATCACAAGTGAACAAGTGAGTTCAGGGCAGCCTGAACTCAGAAATGAAGTCATGTCTCAAAAAAAAAGGAAAAGAAAGAAAGAAAAAAAAAAGAAGTCTAACAAAGCCCCCAAATTCCTCTTCCTGACTTTAAAAAAAAACAAAAAACAAGACAAAACAGGGTCTCACTGTGTAATTCATGCTGGCTTAGACTCCCTATGTAGCCCAGGCCACCCTCAAACTCGTAGCAATCCTCCTACCTCAGACTCCCAAGTGCCAGGATTATAGGGATGCACCGCTATACCTGCTCTTGATTTTTATTTTTGTCAAAAATAAAGTTCTGAGCTGGGGAGATAGCATGGCGGTCTAAGTGCCTGCCTGACAAGAGCAAGGAAGGACCCGGGTTCAATCCCTGGAAGCACATACCATGCCAGCCCTGAGCCAAGCCAGCCACTGGAACTGGGCATGGTGGTACGCCCCTGTAATCCCAGAACTGGGGAGGGAGGCTGAGACAGGAGGATCACTACAAATCTGATCTGCATAGCAAGACCCCGTACCAAATAAATAAATAAAGGTTAATAAAAAATAATAGGGGCTGGCCAGATAACTCAACAGATTAAAGCACTTGCTTAGGCAGATGCAGGGACCGGGGTTTTGCTCTCTGCATGCTGTGCTGGCCCCATCTCCAGGGCATGCTGAGATGGCGATTGAGGCTAGGTGTGGTAGCACACTCCTGTGATTGCAGGACTTGGGAGGCTGAAACCAGGAGGATCACTACAAGTCCAATCCTGTACTAAATAAAATAAAATAATAAAGTTCTGGGGCCAAGGAGATAGCTCAGAGCATAAGCACCTGCCTGGCAAGTGCAAGGTCCTGAGTTTGATTCCTGGTACTGAAAGAAAGAAAGAAAGAAAGAAAGAAAGAAAGAAAGAAAGAAAGAAAGAAAGAAAGAA